AATATAAAATAAAATAAAAAAAATACAAAAATATAAAAGAATAATAAATAAAATATAAATAATACGTTAATAGAAATTTAAAAATCAAAAAGTTATTGATATTAATATAAATTTATATTAATATTTTTATTAATATTAATATATTAATATTTATAAATATTAATATTTATTTAAATTAAATTATTATTGATATTAATATATCATAAAATCATATTACATTCATTGTACTATATATCAAATATATTATTTTTCTATGGAAACGTGTTAAAAAATCGTATATAATTTTTCTAAGAAAACTATGACATTATTCTACTCATATTTCTATTATTAAAAGATAATATATTGTAATATTATATTATATTAGTAAATTATTATTATTATAGATCTATTTAATATAATATATATTTAACATACTGTAATTATTATCATATAATATATATATAATTAATATTATTTATATATATATAATAATATATTATTTATATATATTTATCATTATTTGAAATCTTTAATATTAAAATAATAATTTTTTATCCATTATCAGTTTTATTTATTTATTTAATAATGTTAAATATCATCATGAATAATGTTAGGTGTATACTGGAAAAATTTCTAAATCTAATTTGTTCCAAAATGAAACTCTATATTAAAAAATGTTATCTTATATATTCGATTTATTTCACACATTCAAAATTTTTAAGCTTTATATGAGAAAAATATACCAAAAGTATTAAATATATTTTCGTAAATATTAAAAATCATTTACTAAAAATACTAAAATCTACAATAAATATCGAAATTAATTAAAAATAAACATAATTTAAATACTTTTATCATTTATTATTCAATATTTTATGCTTTACAAAAAAATTATAAAATTCATATCATTATTTTAATGCAATAATAATATAAGCATAAAAAAGATTTAAAAAAAAATCAATATAATATCATAATTAATAATATAATAATTAATAATATAATATCATAATTAATAATATATTAATAATAATATTACCATTTAATAAGATTATTTAATTAAAAATATTCAAAAAATTATATTTTTATAATGAAAAGATTATATATTTTTAAGACTAATTACACATTTATATTAAAATTTGCAAATTTATAGTTATATTATTATTGCATTGGAACAATAAAATATCTTAATGACAATTAAATTAAAAATTAAAAATTATGAAATTATGAAATTATGAAATTAAAGTTAATATATAATATAATATATCAAATATTAATTATCAAATATTTAGTATAACAAATTAATATTATTCATTAAAAAAAAGTATATTAAACAATTTTTAATGAATCAAACAAATTGATCTATTATTTAAAATCATGTAAATTAATATCGAAATAAAAATTGAATAAAATAATTGGAATTGAACATGTTGATTTGTAAATTGTTTAATAATCTATTTTGAAGGACAATATAAAATTACAATATAAATACAATATAAAAAAAATTATCATCTTATTATTAATCTTTATTGAAAAAAAAGTAATATTTTGCATTATTCCTTAATAATAATTATATATTAAATAAAATATAATAATATATAATCAATTGTCAAATTTACAAAAAAAAAAGTTAAATATTAATTTACAACTGAGTTTTTCTTATTTTCAAAAAATATAATAAAACTCCATTTATATGAATAAAATTTATATGATTATTTGAATTTAATTTCTATTATCTGAATTATTCCTGAATGTCATTCCATTTATATGTCTTTATAATATAATATAATTAAAAATGTACATAGTATCCTTATAAAATAAATAAAAAATTAATATATTAAACATTAGACTGTTATTATATTTGCAAAACTCTTTTTATATATTCTTTTTATAATAATAACTTCTTTTTATAATATTGTTTGTAATTATTAATTTAATACATTATTATGTGTTTTAGAAAAAAATATTTTATAAAATATTTTTATATGAACATCAAGTTCTATTAATAAGAAAGAAAAATCAAAACTGGTAAGAGAATTAAATACATTCCCATAATAAACAGCCTATTATATGAATATTTATTTATTCTTCAATAAATTCATATAAATGAAGTTCTAATAATTATCGCATTATTGCAATCTAAAAAGTATATTCAAATATTATATAAAGTTATATAAATTAAATAGATAATATAATAATAATAAAATAATTTTTATATCTAAATTTAACAAGAATACGTCTTTATTTAATTTATTAAATTAAAAATTAAATGAAAAGATCATCAATTTCTATCAAACATTCAACAATTTACACGTCTTCTAATAATGAAATTTGCTAAATAATATAATTAAAATTCGCATAAATATCGAATATAAACACAGATATTCATGAACGATGGCGGTCAGCAATAATGCAAATATTCAATATCAATAAAAATTCCTAACTTCGCCGATTATCATCATATGATTTTATATACTACTTTATATAAAATAAATGAAATGAAAATATATAAAAAAATGAATGTGTTTTTTTTTGGTTAAAATAAAATTTGATTTACAATTAAATTAAAAAGTTTCAATTCATCATTCAATTCCATAATTGAACTATGTTATGATAGATCTTGATGGAGTTATGAGTTATTACACAAGAAACATCAAAGAACATAGATGATTTTTTAAATTTCTAATATTCTACTTTTAATAAAAAATCCTAAAGCAAAAAGATACAAAAAAATTTTTAATTAAAATAAAAATATAATTTTTAATTTATTTTCAAGCATGATGATTTGTATTATACTTTCTTAATCAAAAGTAATAATACAAGAAATTCTTTTTTTCTCAGAATCACTGATAATTGGCTTATACTGGGATTTACTTTAGTTATGATGAAACGTAATAATATGACAAACAATTATCAACTGTTGATTAAAAAAATGAAAAAAAGAAACGAAATCAAAAATACAATATAAAAATTTTGAATCCTCAATTTTTTATATTCTTTTATTTTTATTACTTTTTCAATTATATTTTTAATCTTTCAAAAAAAATTTTAAAGTTTTTCATTCACGAACTATATAAATATTTTAACAATGAAATGTATATATATAAATAAGATTTATACGTTGATTATATAAATAATAATAATAATAAATAATAATACTAACAAAAATAATAATTATTTATATAATCTCTTCGCCTTAATAAATTCGTTTATTTAAAATCTTCTCTAAATTGATCAATTAACCAGACACTATTTATGACTTAATTAATCATTCATAATAAAAGATGTTAATTACATTGCTTCTTTTAAGTTTTAATCCTAAGAATTTTAATCTAAATAATCTTAATTCTAAAGAATCAATTAAAATATTGTTAATAAATATTAACAATTAACAATATATTAACAATAATATTATTTATATAATTAAATACTATTTATTAATAATAATGACAGAAAATTTTTAATTCTTTAACATTTTTAAGATAAATTTTTTTTTAATAACGAGTTCATTAGAATAGTATGAATTATAATAAATTTAAAAAATACATTGAATCTAATTTTGATTTAAAATGATTTTAATTTTATTTGTAATGAATCTTATTATATAATTGTATTGAAATCTTATTATTTTCTAATAGATCTTATTACATATTAAAAAAATCGTCAATTCAATAATTCTTGAAAAATTTACTTGTTAAACAAGTAATATTTAATGTTGATTTTTGAAAAAATTAATTTTTAAATCTTAATAATATTTAATAATATTTAATAAACCAAATTGAAAATGCATTAGAAAATTTTATTGCAGAAAATAAAAAATCGTATATATACAAATGAATAATAATTATTAAATTTTAAATGATAAATTATTAAATTTTAAATAAATTTTAATAAATTTATGTTAGCTACGAAATGCGTAATAAACATTATAAACGTACAATAAACATTAAAGAAAATTTCTTGACTGAAATAAATAAAACTTCTTAAAAAAATTTATTTAGATTAATAATAAAAAATATAAATATAAAAAATATTCTTCTTTGATTTTTTAGTTTAATTCACTGATAAAGATTTTTTTTGTTATAAAATTTTATTAAATATTATTAAAAAAATTAAAAAAATTTTATTTTTATTATTATTTTATTATTATTTTTTATATAAAAAAATATATTATCACACAACATTATATATGATTTATTTTACACAATTTATTTTATTTAAAATAATCTTTTATAAGAATAAAATATACGAAGATTTCAGCGAATTAATATAGATTATTATAAGATTATTATATTAATTTATGTAATTATTTATCTCCATTGAAATATAATGCAAATTTTTTATGCCTGGATTGCAATGAGTCAATAAAATTTTAAATCCATCAAGCTATAGTCAAATTGACTAATTTATAATTTTCTTATATTTTGTTATTAAAATTATTAAAATCATATATATTATTTTGACAAAATTAATTGATTTTTTCAAAAAAAAGCTTAGAACTATAGATTTATATCTAATTATTTTTATAATACTATATATATATAATAGATTACTAAAATGTTTTGTTCAATTTTTATTAATTAATGTATTAAGTTAAAAATATAATAATATAATAAAAATATATTAAAATTGAAAAAATTATATTTTTAAAATTAAAAATAAATTAAAAATAAAAGTAAATTAAAAATAACAATACAAATATATGTTCTATATCTCTTATACCATAAAAATAAATAAATAATTAAATAAATATAAATATAATTAATAGATATTATTATATCTAAGTATATTTACTATATCTATGTATGTCAAACATAAATATAAGCGTTAATTAGTTATTTCTATCATACATTCTATAATTCTAATCATTTTTATAAAATATTTAAATAAATATTATAGGTCAATAATTTTAATATTCATTATCTTTTCAAAAGTAAAAAGTAAAAATAAAGATTTTAAAAAAATTCATTTAAATACATTTAAATAATATTTATATCAAAAAATGAAGAATAATAACAACTTACTTTCTCGAGGTCAATTCAAAGTGTCCAGATATATAAATGGATACTGGTAACCCATAGATGATGGCGGCTGTCAATCGGTCCGTGAACACGTGCAACGGTCGGCTGCTTCCGCGCGACTGAAACGGGATCGCGATACTGAGAACCAAAGCCAACTCGAAGCCAAGACTATTTGCTATTCGGTACTTGCTGCTGCTTGTCTCCCAGTCGATGTCATTCTTACCTCTCCTCGATCATGAAACGCTCCAACAACCAGAGCTGAATTTCGTCCGTAACGTGAAATGTGTATATAAAGTATTAATATATTTGTGGAATATCTTTGGAATGCTGCTTCTAAAGATCAAAACAAATACAAAAATATCGGTTAAAGCTTATTTATTAAGTTATAAGCAATTAATGTTTGAATTAGATGAATTGAAAACATAATGAAATACTTATGATGGAAATAAAGTTATTTCATTCTAAATATATCTCATTTCATCTAACGCAATTTCGATTATAACTAACATAATAATTTACATTTTTGCATATCAATTTTTGTTTATTTTGGTTTTTAGAATCGATCTTCTAATATATCCCAAAATATATTAATATTCTATATATTTACATATACAGTAATATATTGTATATGTAACAAGAGACTATATACACACATCTCTTTGACTAGAGTCGATAAAAACGTTCACTCGTTGAAAAATTAGTTCCGCAATACTTCAAGGAAGTCACAGTCAGATTTTTTTATGTGTACGTACATATACGTATATATATAAATGTAGATTTTTAGAAAATTTTTAGAATTTTAAATTCTTATTTTATATGTAAGAAATAATTGATATGGTGAAATATATTAAATACTTATTAAAATTCTAAAATTATATAAAAAGATTGAAATTTAAATTTATAATTATAACTTTAAAATTACTGAAATATTTGAATCATATATTAATCAATGAAAAAATAACAATTTTCATAACATTTAAATATTTATTTCAGAATTTTATAATAATAATTAAAAAATAATCTGTAGTAGATATGATCATATAATTATTGAATATAATCATTTGAAAAAGTCAGAATGTTATATATGACCTTGTTTCTTATTACATACTTCATATATATATGAATATACAGTTCAATAAACATTTCGTCAAATAGATATAATCAATAAATTTTAGAGATGGATATAAGCTTAATCTTTTTATCTTATTCGTTCATAAAATAAAAAAAATTAGAATAAATAAAAAATTTTAAGAAAATGAAAAACAAAATTTTTATTATTATTGCATTAATAAAATAATTAAATTCCTCTGAAAAAAATAAAGTTAAAATATAAAAAATATGATTTAGATAAACGAAAATAAAATAATCATTCTTTTATAATTATTCTTAATTATTTTTTTATAATTATAAAATATGTTCTTTTATAATTATAAAATAATTATTTTTCTATAATTATCATTATAATTTTCTTTCTATATAATTTTTAACAAATGTATTTCAAAGGAATTTCAATTCGAACATGCATTGTTTTATTGACAATATTTAAGATATAGTATAATAAAGATGTAATATGAATTTGAATTCCTTATTATTTGCACATAAAGTAATAATTCAATACGATTATTTTTCGTGCAAAATAAGTTAGAACATTGAACTAACTAAAAGGATTTATTTGAAGGATTTATATCGATTTTTTTTAAGATTTTATTTCTAAAATCAATATAAATATATATATAATTTTATGTCAAGTTTATAATTTATTCAAGTCGACAAAAAAGTATATTAAATGTTTACAGAATTTTTAATGAGACTGATTTTTTTCTATATTCAATTTTTTTTTCAATTTTAGTTCAATTTTTTATTACTGATTTTCTACGTATTTATTTTATTATTTTTATATAAATTATGATTTTATAAATTATATTTTCTGCAAATATTTCCGCAATTATTTTTGTATAAATTATATTTGGAATAATTGTTTAATTTAATAATTTCATTCAATTTTAACAATATCATTTTAATTTATTTTTAAACTTATATTTCATCACTAAAATCACTAAAACAAGATTTCAATAAAAAAAGAAGATTTCAAGAAGAAAAAATATTATATTTTTATTCATTTAAATTAAAAAAAAATTTATATATATTTAATTGTATGATTTACATATACTATTATATAATAAAATATATCGATATATCTATTAAATTCAAAGATCGAAAATACTCAAGCAGATAAAATGACTAGAAATATATATATAACATTTTTATAGAATGACCTTACATTCTAAAACTACTAGTCATAAATGAATGCAAAATATTTGTGCGATATATTTCATTAATTCCTAAAACTTTGGTTATTTGTTAGAATCTGAGAAATATCTATTAAATTAAAACGAAGAAAGGAAATATAACAATAAATTAATTAAAAGATGAAATTATATATTTCAAAAAAAAATATTTCAAATATAAATATCAATAAATTGTAAATAAATATAACTAAACTAAACTATAAGTATCAATAAATTATACTAATATTATTTTCTAAATTTTTGTTGTGAGACAATTATATTTGGAATAAATTATATTATATTAAATTATATACAATATAAAATGATATATTAAAATATAATATAATATAATAGTTATTAATAGAGATAGTTATTAATTATATGATTACAATTTAATCATACAAATTTAAAATCAAACATTATACATATATAATTGTCCATGGAAAACTCTGATATTTTTCATAAAAACGTGAAAATAATTATCTCGATTTACTATAATTGATTATTTTTGACAGATTAATATCAATGTCACGATCAATAACATATAGTATGATTAACTTTAAATTAACTTTAATTGATAAAATTGAACAATGCTAATTTTTTACTGTCAACTTATGAATTTAATTGAGATTATTATGTATATGTATAAATAAATATTATCATATATATATTTATAATATATATGTTATATATATATATATATATATATATATATGTTTTACGGATATAAAACTGTCTTTGCGTAAAACTGTCCTTGCATATAAAATAAATATATAATGATCCAATTCTATTTATTTTATATTATTATTATATTATATTATTTTATATTTAAATTTTTCTAAACTCACTAGATCCTTTGTTCTAAGGATCCTTATAAAGATCTTAAAATTAATACACTTTTATTTTACGAATTATTAATAACGTATTTTCGATTGAAAAAAATCTTTCTTCTAAGTCTCGTAAAAAATACAATTGCTTTATCTTTTTATCTTCTAATTCTAAGTTCTGTTCCAAATTTTCCATTCTGATGACGTAGTATTTGTTTAAGTAAATTGAGTTTAACTAATAGAGTTCTTTGCTTACTATTATCACTGAATTGTTTATTTATACAAATGTAATTTTTGATAAAAAATTATTTATTGGAAATTTCCTTTTATTCTTTTAATAACAAAATATTAATTTATAAATTATTAATTTATAATACCGTTCGTTCAAAATTTAATCCAACTTTTAAAATATTAAAATACATATAATTATTTATATATTTATCACAATTCTTTATTTATCGTTTGTCAGAAATTTAAAAAAATTTTCTATTATTAAAAAAATTTTAGTTAAATTATTTTCATATTATCCTTAATTTATTATTAAGCATTCTTCAATTTTTTATCACAAAAAAATATAATTTTGTATTAAGCATTTAAAATATCAATAGCTTAAAAGAATAAAATATATTCTTTTTTTATCTATAAGGAATGAAAAAAATTTAAAATAATAAAAATATTTTTTTTATATATCTAATAGAAATAAACTATTTTTATGATATCTTAATGGAAAATTGTTTGTCACGGAAAAATATTTCGACACTAGTAACCAAAATATCGAACCTTGAAATAATATAATATACATATAAGCTTATATAAATTTAGTATTCATATTTAATTTAATAATATTCTAATTTATTAGTTAAGATTTTAGTTAATTATTCACTTATCTATAGTCTATTAATTATAGTTTAAAATTATTTAAAATTATTTATTTCGTTATTTAATAAAGCTATTCGTTATTTAATAAAGTATATTCATTTTACTAAGATTTCTATCAAGAATAATTAAAATTTTTCATTATAATATAAAATAAATTTACATTAAAACATAACTTTTTTCAATGTATTTTTGATACATTTTTTAATTACACGAAACATAATATATGAGATTTCTTTGAAATATTTTTACATAACATTGTTATTCAAGAATTGTCTGTTATGAGAAAAAAATAATGTCATCTTTAACAACATATCAAGAAAATTTTAATTAAATTTTATTATATTACCAAAGATTGAACAGCTGAATCATGAAAATTTTCCACTGTAAAATCAATCTAGACTGAGATGACAAACAATGACTAATGCACATGAACCATTTATTATCAATACATTCATTTATTTGCATTTATTGCATGATTATTTTACTTCAAATAAAATATAATAATATGGTGAGACTATCTTTTTAACTATCTTTCATTATTTTTGTTTAAAATTTTATCGTATTGTACAAAAAAATTGCAATATATAAATATAGTTTCAATATACATATATAATTATTTTTATTTTATTATGCAGAACTGATATAACATAGCCATGAGCAAAGTAACATTTTAATTTTATTTTGCGTTTTTAGGCTACTATTTAGGGAGTAGTGCTAAGATGATCTCTCTCGGAAGAGAATCTAAAATAACTAGGTCTCTTGCTAGGTTCTGGTCACTGACCGACAGATTTTACGATCTCTGATAATAAAAAAAATAAATATTTATAAATATTATTAATTATTATATTATAAATATAATTATATTATAAATATTATTATTAATATTATAATAGTATATTATAATAATAATTATAATAATAATATTATAATAAGTATATTATTTAATAATTATTTAAAAAAATAAATATTTTAAATATACTTTTATGTTAATTATACATGTTTTTCTAAAAAACATAAATTATTATTTATATATATATATATATATATATTCTGGTTTTTGAAAAAAATTTCATTGAAAACATCATTCATTATAAACAAAAATATAATATAGTAAGAATAATAAAAAGAAATTTGTTTAAACAATATTATTTATTTTTAAATGAAATTAAATATAAAATATATTTTTTTATAAAAAATATTTATATATATATAGTAAATAGATATATAATTTTAATTACTTGAAATAAATTCTTATTTAAAAATAAATATAAATAACCATTGATTACATTTGATTAATTAAAATCCACGACAAATATAAAAAATAAGATCATATTTTTTGTGAAAAATATTAATCTATTTTAATAATAAAATAAAATACATCAAAAAACGTTTTATTTTTATTTGATTTCAATTTTTTTCATATTTTGTTTTGCATTTTATACATATATTTTTTGCAAATATTCATTTTACAATAGCAAATGTTAATAAATGCGATACAAAGCAGATGTATGTATATAATGTATGAAATAAATTATTTAAACAGTTATCCTCAAGTATATATTCTACATCTTCAATTATAATGTTGATGCATCACTGTTAGTGAAAGCAAGAACTGTAAAACACACCTCTTCTGGATCACGAGCCATATATTCTTTACAAACACGCGCTGCATCTTCTAATAATGTTTCCGGACTAGTTGTACCATGATTAATAGGAGCAGATTTACGACCATCTAGAAAGTCCCATATATATATATATATATATATATATATGGAAATATTATGATGATATTCTTATAATATTAATCATTATAATTATTTATTATTAATGTTTTATTTACTGTTAATGTAATATTTTTATATGTTAATTATATATTGTAGAATTAAAATATTTACCTAATTCATATAAAACTCCATTCTTTTGTATGAATGCTACAAAATGATGATAAACTGGTTCTTCTTCACTTGGAACCTATCAAATATTTTAAATTACTATGATTGTTTGATTGATTGTTTCTATGATTGTAAAAATCATACCTCTGTTTGTCCTTCTTGTGCAACATCTTTATGAGTAGTACTAATACCATGCGATTCCATTAAATGTTTTCCACATTCCGTAAAAGAAAGATTTTTTGCATCATCTAAGAAAGATTTTAAAAAACCATCTTGAAGATTTATGCTGAAAAAATGAATTAAATAAACTATAATATATAATATCTGTTTCAAAATAAATTAACAAATTAAATTAATTATGTATTTTTAATAAAATGCCTACATATTTTGATTATTTGCAACACTATGAATTAATGCAATTGTACCACAGGCATTATGAATGTATTGTTTCATATGAAAAACTTCTGCATCTTTAAAATTATTTGCATCTTTCATTTTGTCAGCTTCCTCTTCATCTTCTAAACTATTATCGCCCTATATTATATAAAATTATTATACATATTATAAATTATGATCTTAAAGAAATAAATAAAAATATTAATGTAATTTTAATTTTTTAACCTTTTTGGATAAAGGATATAATAAAATAACAGCAAGAACTGGTTTAGGTACAAGAGCCAATAGATCAGGTTCCAATCCATAAACATCAACAATACACCAATCTTTTGGTACACCTAATTTGTGTAAAAACTGTAAAATAAATATTTTTATTAGAAAATTTAATAAAAAATTATTAACAAAATTATTTTATAATCAATTTAATTATTTCATATAAAAATTTATCAGTATAAAATTATCAGTATAAAATTTATCAATAGTAAATTTATCATATATAAATTTATCAGTTAACTTTTTAATAAATATATATAAAAAATTTTAAAATTATTTACAATATAAATATCGTAGAGGTTAATATCAACAATGAAAAGTCATGATTTACCTTTGTCATAACCTGAAAAAGAAAGAAATGAATTTAATTTATGTATAAAATTGTATTTTTTAACATTAAAATAAAAATTCTTACTTCTGGATTCGATTCCATTGGTATCCAAGACGTCATGATGAATTTTATTGAATTTTATTTTATCTAAAAAATATAAAATTCAAAACTTCATATTTAAACTTTATATTTATTATAAAAGATATAATAAATTTTAAAAAGAATTTTTATGAAAATAGTTACTCACAACAAATGTTGGAAATTCACTAAAGTGTATAGTGTTATACCTACGTAAAATTTAAATATTGATATATATATTAATTTATTACACTCTGACGAATTTTTTATCTAAACTCTGTAACATTGACACAATTGTGTAATATGTTATTGGCTCTGAATAAAATCAATGTTAAACTTATATGAGTAATAATAACATATTTATTTTTATCTATAATTTATTTTATTAATTTTAAAATATAAATAAAAAATTTAATCTACTTTATTAAATTTTTCAATTGTCTGTAGTAGTAAAAATAGCTAACATTTTAAAATCAAAATATCTTTAAAATTTTTAAGCAGGTAAGTACATATATGTTTATATAAATATTTGTATTGATTATAATATTATAATACATATATATTATAATATTACTTTTTTTTTATTTAAAAGATCTTTGAAAAGATAATAATAAAAAATGACTGTAAGATTTTTTTTATTTTAAATTATTTTAAATATTGATTTATTAGTAAAAATTTTATAATTAAATAATAGATTTGTTAAATAAAAAAATACATTAAAAAATACATTAATACTATAGCAAATAATAATATAGCAAAAATTTGATTACAAAGTAATAAAATTGCCACAAAATCTCCGCAATTTGACTTAAAAAAAAAAAAATTACTATATTCATCATATATATCAAATTACTTTCAATATAAAAAAAAAATATATCAATCAACTTTGATATCAAATTTGCAACAAAAATAGACTAAGATTTGGTACATAACTTAGCATATCTTCTTTTGATGCCAAATATATAAAATGAATAGTTATAAATGAAGTTCAAATTAACAAAGACTCCATAAATCTATCTTTTTGAAAATAAATAAGATATATAAAATAAGATATATAATATAAGATATATAAAATATTTATTTTGTAATTATTTATTTTTTGTATCAAAAATGTAAAAATATATACATAATAATAAATAAATTAAGATTATAATTATATATTTGATAAAACTACAAATAGTTTTATTTTAACTTTAATTTTAATTAATTAAAAATCTTTTTTTGTGTAATTATTATTTTCAAGAGTCCTATTTCAAATCTTCTTCTATATCATGAATTGAAGAACATGAAAAAAAACAATTAGATAAAATACATTAATGTTACATAATACATAATAATACACATACATAATAAAATATATAGTAATATTAATTTAAAAAAATAAAATAATTTGTGTATGCCATAAATATAGGAAATGAAAATAATCATTGTACAAAATCTAATTTGAAATTAGAAAATGTTATGTTCAATCAAACTTATTCTGCAAATAAAAAACACATTATTAATATCGTACATATATGTGTAACACATTTATAAATAAACATAATATTTATATTTTAATTACAATCATTCATTGTCTTTATAATCTATTTTATATCACGTAATATATTTATGTATATTTATATCATGCAATATATTTATGTATATTTATATCAAATTATGTATATAATTATGTAAATTATGTATATTATGTATATTTATATCAAATTATACTTGTATCAGAATATTATATATAAAGATATTATATATATTATTATTATTATTATATGTAAAGATCATATATGGATTCATATATAAATGAAATTAGTACAAATATAAATTTTGAGATATATAAACAAATTAATATATGTATATTATAAATCTAATATAATTATAATAAATAACAACAATATAATTGTTTTTGTGTGTATTTGAAAGCAAAAAGTAAAAATAGATAAATTTATTATGATATTAAATTTTATGATGATAAATAGATATAATTTTATTAATGATATAGATTTTCACTATGTATAATATTGCAATATAATATATATAATATATTATAATATAAAATATATTGTATAAATAATATTGTATTTTGCATTTATATTATTCTATCATCATTGTTTTCTGATGTACTTTTTTTAGAAAACATTTTTTAATATAGTTATATTTACTATAAATTCAATCTTAGTTAAAAAATAATACATAACTGAAACATTTAAAACACAAAAAAATATATAACAGAACTTGATATATTTCAAACACTTGAAACACAAAAAAACATACAACTTGATATATTACCATCAACCTTATTATGTTTTTAATAAAAATTGACTGATATAATTTTGACATAAATCAAGCTTTGTATATTTGTAATACTAATTTATTAATATAACTTGATAATCAAATTTTATATTGAATTTGTAATATTTTAATTATAAAACTTATATCAAAAAATTTTACAAAATCTAACAAAAATAAATGATTGACAGAGTTTAATCTGTCAAATTATTACAAATAATATAACAAAATTAAAATTGATAATCAAATATATCAATTTTCAATTTTTTATATAAAAATGTATGAGTATAAATATGTATAAAGTATTTGTACAAAATATTTTATATTATTTAAATTGAATTTTAGTTTACAAAAATTTCATATTCAAATTTTAATCATTTTTATAATATATTTTTCATAAATTTAATGAGGAATAATATGCAATAAAATCAGTCTTAATTATTAAAATTTAGTTTAAGTTTAAAATATTTACAAATTTATGAATAATTTAAAATTTTTGTTAGTTATATTAGTAAATTTTTATTGCTTGAAAAATAAAAATCACTAAAAGATTGAAAAATAAAAATCACTAAATTCGAATTAGTTTTCAATTTAGAATTTCATATGATACAATTAATATTATACAATTATTATTAGTATTATATAATTATTAATATATAAATTTAATATATAAATTAATAATTAATTTAATTAAATTAATATATAAATTCATAATATCACATTATTCCCATTGTCACTGTTAGATTAAATAAAATTAAATAAAAGCATCTCATATGATACGATAGCTTTGCTTTGAAAATTTGGCCAACAAGAGAGAAATTAAGCTATACTGATAGAGAAATTGTGTATTATCTGCGTCTGACAAATCTATAATTCAATTTGAGTTAAATCCAGATATACCAGACTTATAAGCTCTAGAAGGTTCTTTTCATATTTTGATTTTGAAATAATAGAAAAAAGCTGATTGAGGAAAAAATGTGATGCGATTATATTGTCAGGATATATGTGTAAGAATTTTGTGTATTGTGTATTGAATTTTTATCATGATATATAATGCTATAATATCGTGAGAATGATAATATATGTCTTAATATGTTTCTAATTGCGTTGGTAGTATTGTGCCAATCGAGCACAAATTTAAGCAATATATATCGAAAAAATATATATCTATTGAATATTATAATTTATTTATTGTTTGTGATATAATTCAATATAATTTTTCATTGATAAAAAAATATTATATTCCATTATTTTCAACATATTTTGTTTAGATTTGTTCATATTGGCACGTAGCCAATACTAGCATCGTGATGATTATGTTATGCGCTCTATGATTGGTCAGTGTTTTTTATTAATAATTCATTAATAAAATTGTAAAGAAAATTTTTACAAAAAAAAATCTTAAAATTATTTTAAAAATCTTTAGTTTTTTTTAAAGATATTTTAGGATATTTAATATTTTTAGGATATATATGTATACTTATAGATAATCTATATGTATATTGAAATTCACGAGTATTCATTGAAACAAAAAAAAAGAAAAATAATAAATATTGTTTCAAATATGTATATATATTTATAACTATAACCAGCTATAAATAAAATTATATATTTATTTATTTATAATAATTATTAATAATAATGTATATATTTTGTATAAAAAATTATAAAAGACAACAAAAATGATACAATCTAAATCCAAAATATATGTTGAACCAAAACTTTGTATTTATTTTAAACTTTTATTCATCAAGAATATACAAATAATAACAAATAATAAATTACAATTAATAAACTAATAATATTAAAAATATTAAAAATAATATTAATAACATTTCATAATATTTTACATTATCTTCAAACTTTGTATAAATTTATTTTACAAAGTTTCAAAATTATTTTATTTTATAATCAATAATTATGAATAAATAATTTTCTTTAAATTATGTATATTTTCTTAATTTCTTATTGTTTTTTTAAACTAAATTATAATTTTTTTTAAATTTTTACTAATTAAATTTTTAATAATTAAATTTTTTTAAAATAAATTATAAGAAAATAATTACAGATTGTATATTATCAATTAAATTTAATCTTTATTTTAATTAAAATTTAATAATTTAAATTAAAATTAAAATTAAAATTTAATTTTTTTGAAATTATAATTTCCAAAATATAATTAAAACACATTATGTTTAAAACACTATTTAAAATCATAAGACTAAAATAAAAATTAACAGATTAAAATAAAAAATATATATAAATAATATATAAATATATAATATATAAAATATAATAATAAAATATAATAAAATATATATAAAATATATTTTAGACTTAATAATGTTTAAATTACATTTTGTAAATGTTTATATAATATTTTGAAAATAAAAATTTTTATCATTATTTTGTTCGCATATTACTTAGATAATTTTATTTCTGTATTAAAGCAATTAATCGAACCCATATTTATAATAATTAAATCAATAGCAATAATATTAATGATATTCAAACGATTTAATATCAAAATAGGAGATATCGAAATTTTTAAATACTTGATATCATTTTTTGGTGATATCTTTTAAAAAATCATTTAATATTTGAATCAAAAATCATTTAATATTTTATGAAAGTATCGATATTACTTGTTTTATACAAAGATTTTATTATTTTACAAATAGAGATTAGTTTTCATCAATAGATTAGTTTTCATTTTTAAATATCAAAATCAGATATTGATCAAATATTGCATACTCGAATAATAATAGAATAAATACAATTAGAGAGAACAAAATATAATATATTTACGATAATATACGATAATTAAATACAATTAAATACGATAATTAATTACAATTAACGATAATATATATCTATTATTTGTGATACCTGATAACTCTCTTTCTTTTATTCGACGATATATAATAATTTTATTTATAAATGTGATTTCAACATGCTTGAATGTATTAAATCAATCAAAATTAATCAATCAGATTTGTATTTTTTATAGAGGATTTCTTATCAATTGCATTTTAAAAGTTTCGATCGTTTCGAAAGTTTTGTTTTGGAAGTTTTAAAAATTTTGATCGCCTCAGAGATTTTTTAAATTTTAAAAAATTCAAAATTTTTATTATCTCATTCATATTAGCTGTTTTTCATTCTTATTAATGTTACCTGATTCTGGATTTTATTGGTACTTTTCAAAGGATAAAATCAAAAATAAAAAAAAACAATAAATTATGCAAATGAAGTAAAATAACTTTCAAAAGATTTGAATGTTTTAAAATAATTAAAATTTTCAATTAAGACAAGAAACAATTAAGATTTTCAAAATTTTCAAGAATTTTTAAATTTAGAATTTTCACTATTTTAAAAATTCGAAACATTGCAAATTCTATCAATTTATATTATATAAATTGAATTCTCTTCTTAATAATTTGAATTCTCTATCTAAAAGACAATTTGAATTTGATGCACAGTGCTGCTTATATCACTTAATTAGATTAGATGAAAATTCAATATGGCATCATAACTTACAAAATTTTCAAAAAATTCTTAATTTGAATAATTTGAATAATATGTGTGTGACTTTTGTGTAACTTTTGAATTTAACTATTAAATTACCCTAAATTTAATTTAAAGTAGGGTAAAATAAAATTCAATAAACTATTATTTTTAAATTTATAAAAGTATTAAAAAAAGTTCAAAAATTTGGATGCAAGTTAAGTTCAACTTTTATTTATAATAAATTTTAAGAAATGCAATGATTTTATCAATTTATATTGTTTTAATCTTTTCAATATTATGTACATCATGGGAAGATCAATATATATCTATAATAACTGATAAAGAAAATTATAAAATATTTCGGCCTATAAAAGCAGAAGTAAATAAATATTTTCCAACATGGAATAGTTTAGATAGTCGTCCACTTCCAAATTGGTATAATGATGCGAAATTTGGTATTTTTATTCATTGGGGTATTTTCAGTGTTCCTAGTTTTGGCTCTGAATGGTTTTGGAATAATTGGAAAGGTAATTTATATTTTTTTATTATTAATTATAATATTTTTTACTTAATTTAAAATTCTATATTTTTCAAAATAATATAAATTTATATTTATATAATTAAATTTAAATTTTATATATAGAAGAACATATTGGTACAAAATACCATGATTTTATGAAACAAAGGTATCCCCCTAATTTTACATATCAGGATTTTGCTCATGACTTTACTGCTGAATTTTTTAATGCATCACAATGGAGTGAACTATTTCAAGCTTCAGGTGCAAAATATATTGTATTGACAAGCAAACATCATGAAGGATATACTTTATGGCCTTCAAAATACTCATTTAGTTGGAATTCTATAGATGTAGGACCACAAAAAGATCTTATAGGTATTAATTAAATTAAAATTTATATTAATAGTAACAATCCAATTTTTTAATTAATAATTTTTAATATTAGGTGAATTAGCTACAGCAATAAGAAATTTAACTAATTTGAAATTTGGTCTTTATTATTCTTTATACGAATGGTATAATCCTCTTTATCTACTTGATAAAAATAACAATTTTACAACTCAAATCTTTGTTGAACAAAAGATAATCCCTGAATTACATGAGTTAATAGAAAAATATAAACCAGAAATTATATGGTCTGATGGTGATTGGGAGGCATCAGATGATTATTGGAAATCAAAAGAATTTTTAGCTTGGCTATATAATGAAAGTTCTGTAAAAAATACAGTAGTAGTAAATGATAGATGGGGTCAAAATATATCATGTCATCATGGTGATTTTTATACATGTTCTGATCGTTATAATCCTGGTAAATTGAATCTAATATAAACAATATTTTTTCCAATTTATATTTTTTATTTATTTATTTGTAATTTAAATTTCTTAGGAGTACTTCTACCACATAAATGGGAAAATTGTATGACAATTGATAGAAAGTCTTGGGGATTTCGTAGGAATGCTGTTCTATCAGAATATTTTACTTTAGCAGAATTAATAAAAGAATTAGTAATTACTGTAAGCTGTGGAGGAAATTTATTAATGAATGTAGGACCAACAAAAGATGGTATTATTACTCCAATATTTGAAGAAAGATTACGTAGAATGGGTATGCTTATAAATAAAAATATATACTCATAAATATAAATTTATTTAAATATATAATAATTTATTTAATAGGTGATTGGTTAAAAATAAATGGAGAAGCTATTTATAATACTAAACCTTGGACAACACAGAATGATACTTTAACTTATAATGTTTGGTATACACAAAATAGAAACACAAAACAAATTTATGCAATAATTCTTACATGGCCAAATGAAGGTGTATTATATTTAGGATCATTTCGAGCAACTTCCAATACACAAATTTCTGTACTTGGATCTAATTTATTAATAGAGGTATACATAGTAAGAAAATAATGAAGCTAATAAAAATATGAATAGTAAATTATAAATTTTTTGTTTTTTTGAAAAAAATCTCCAAAAAATTTGACAAATATCAATTTATATTAATTGTTTAAAAGAGTTTTAAATTGAAAAGAATGTAAAATTATTCTATTTGCATTTAATTGTCTTATTATATTTTGTTAAGTATAAAACACAAATTTATGTTTTTAATTGTCTTTTTCATAAATTATCTTTTTTTACTAGCCTCATTATTTTCTAGTATTATATATATTTAATTTTAATAAAAACATCATATTATATAAATTATATAAATTATTATATAAATAGTAATATAAATATAATTATATAAATTTAATAATTTAATATATCTTTAATTTCAGTGGAAACAAACTATTAAAAAGTTGAAAATATTCTTACCAGCAGAACTTAATAGAGGACAACCAGCTTGGACATTGAAAATAAAATAAAAATAATATTAATTCTTCATAAATGAGATTCATTTGTAAAAAGATTAAATTATACATTTGTAGTTATGTATGATATATTCAAACATTACTTAAATTCTATTCTTAATTTAAAATGTTTTAAAAAGTTATTGAATTTTTGCTGAATTTTTTAAAGATTTTTTTTACCTATTGAAGAACACAAATGACAACGCAAAAATAAATAAATAATTCCCATTTTTGAAATAAAGATAAAATAAGGACTTAATTAATCTTTTTTAATTAAATAACATATTTAGTTTTCTTATGCAAAGAAAAAAAATATATTCAAATCAAAAATATAAAATGTTATTTTTTTATTTTTTATTACATATTTTTCCTTCAAAATTTTATTTATGGATGTTTATGTCATAAAATATTTATAAAAATACAAAATATCTTTGGAGAGGATTCTAGACATCAAAACAATGACAAAAATTTATTGATTCAAATTCAAAATACATATACATATATATTAACTAAGCTTAATTAATGAGTTATAAGTAATTTTAAGTTTACATTAGAATGAGGATAACAAGTAAAAAAAAAAAAAAAAAAAAATAAAGAAAGAACACTGAATTGAACTTATTTAAATACTTTAATATATATTTTTACATGATATTATTATACCATAATAAGCAAAATGAAAAAAAAATAAATACAAAGACAAATTTATATATTTTTAATAAACTATTTCACAATAGCATAATATATCATACAATGTATATTATGTAATTATTTATTTAACAAAAAATTACCTCAAATAAGTTACAACAAATTTTAAAATATTGACATTATAATATAATAACATTAAATTCATAGATTCATTTATATTTATAGATAAATTGTACAAACATTTTATTTAAATCCATAAATAAATTGTTATGTAATATTCAACTTGTCTATTTATCAAAATCTATAAAAACAAATCAAAACACACTTTCATCTAAATTAGAAAAATTAAATATATTTTTCTATCCAAACTTGGTTTTTTTAATTATTTTTATAAAATAAAGATAAAAGCTGATTCATTCTTATATTCAATAATCTGTGAAATTCAAATTAATACTGAGATTTTATATATATATAAGAATAAAACAAGTTTTTATATAGAAAAATATTTAAAATCTTATGGGAATGTTTTGATTTATTCCTATAAATTTTGATAAGTAGACAAGTTGAATATAATACGATGATTCATTTCAATTTGAAATGTGTAATATAATATTGTATATCATGAAATTGGTAAATTGCAGATTAATATATGTTAATATATATTGTTCGAGCTAAATGCTCTTTGTTAAATAATTAAAAAAATTATATAGATTTCAATTTATATAATTATATTTTACTATATCTATGTAAATTATATATTATATTGCATTAAAATTCAGATAATTATTTATACATAGAATATTAATACGTTTATTTTTGGAATTGAGGAGTTGCTACAACACAATATTATCGCGCGTTGAACATTCTCCTAACATTTTACCTAACATACCTAACATAAATTTAAAATGCTTATAATTCGTTAATTAACGTTATCGGATGTACATATATTTATTTTTTTTTTTTCGTTTTAATAGAATCCATCCTTCAAAAATATCTCATATTTTTATAAACATTGCTTATAATACAAAAGAAATAAGTTCTTGAATGCGTCGATATAAATTTATATTTTGATTATTTTTTTAATATATATGTATGTGCATGCAATGTTAATGTTGAAGTTGTGCTATCTCATATAAATAAGCTCCAAGTATCTTAGTCTAAATAAAAAATAAAATATTTTTATATTTAAATAAAATTATAATGAAATATATTGTTTTAAATAAGAATACTTACACCTTCAATATAATTACAAATATTTATTTTTTCATTTTGAGAATGTGCTCCATCATCACTAGCACCAACTGGTAAAAGTATTATATTTTTGCCTGTTGTTTCTTGGAATGTCAAAGTAACTGGAATAGAACCTCCTTCACGTGATAAGTCAGGTTCTACATTATAAACATGTTTAATAGCTTTTCGACCAGCCAAATAATTTGGATGATCAGGATTTTCAGACCATGTTTTTCCTCCATGATACATATTAACATTAAATGTATTTGGACTACCTCTAGCAGCCCATTTTTTATTTAAATATGCTGTTACTTTCTTTGCAGTATCTTCAGGTGTCATACTTGGCACTATTCTAATTGAAAACTTTCCAATAACTTTCCTTGGAATAACAGTTTTTGCACCTGGTTCACTAAATGCACCTTCTATTCCATGAAGAGATAAACTTGGTTCTCTCCATCGATGCATCAAAATTTGAATCTAACAATATAATTTAATTTATTAATAATACAAATATATAAAATATATTATTATACATAATTAAAACTTAATAGCAATTAATTTCTTACTTTATCTTCATTATGAACTAATTTATTAATTCCAATAGAATCCCTGAATTCAGCAACATCAAATTCTATTGTTTTATAAGATTCTAATTCTTTTTCTAGAATTTTATCAACTTTATCATAAATATCATCTATTAAAATTTTTCCATTTACATCAACTAATGTGTTTAACAAATATATCAAATCTGGCATTGCTTCATGCAAAATTCCACCATACGTACCACTATGCATATCTTTATCAGCACAAATTACTTCTACATGAAAATAACAAATACCTCTTAAACCATACGTAATACAAGGTTTTTTAGTAGTCAACCAATAATTATCAGAAATGCATATATAATCAACATTTTGTAAAAATGTATTTTTTCGTGCCCAAAGAAGTTCATCTAAACCTTCACTACCACTTTCTTCCATACCTTCAAAGACAAACTTCAATCGAAAAATATTTTAAATAATAATATAAAAAAAAATTGAGAAAAATATTATCACAAAATTATAATTGAAAATACCTTAAGATTAACAGGAATATCTATTCCAATAGCTTTATAAGCTTGTAATACATGAATCCAACAAAGTACAGGACCTTTATCATCTGTACTTCCACGTCCAAATAATTTACCATTTTTTTCAGTAAGAATAAATGGTTCAGTATCCCAACCATCTTCTTTTAATGCAGGTTGAACATCCAAATGTCCATATATGAGAACTGTTTTTTTTTTAGGATCAGATCCATAAGTTCCTAATAAAACAGGTGGTAAAGGAATTTGATTTCCATCGGGAAGAACTTGTTTTCCTATATCTACTAATTCTGTATTGATTCCAAGATTTTTCAATTTGATTTCTGTCCATTTCATCATCTTGATTACTTCATTTCTATGATTTGGCCATGCTGAGACAGATTTTATAGCTACTACTTCCCGTAAATTATTTATATATTCTGTTTTATGGTCATCAATATAACTAAAAATATATTAAAAAATATTACATAATTACAATAAATTATATATAAAAAATAAATATTATTTATATACTTAAATAGTTGTTTCAACGTTGGTGGAAGTTCTGAAGCCATTTTTTTTATATTTTATTCAATATTTATTAAAAAATTATAGCTCTAAACTCGAAAAAAATAAGTTGAAAATATTTCCTGTAAATATATATACATGATGAAGTAGAAATCTTATCTTATCTTGTATTACAAGTGACTCATTTATAATATATATATGACTTATTTTTAACATGACTCATATATTTTACTATGCATTATATAAATTTTAAAAAGTATTTAAAAACATATTTCATTTCTTTTTTTTAAAAAATAAATTTAAATTTTTAAGTTTCAATTTTTTAAAATCTTAAGTATTTTGATGATTATATAATTATACATAAATATATATATAATTATAGATAACTAACTATAACATAATAAGCATGCAATAAAAGCAAATAACTTTAATTATATTTTTTTAATATTGAAAAATATATTTCAATATATTTTAATTTAATATTATTTAATTTAATGTTTAATATATATTTTATCAAATAAATATTTAAAATAAAATTACATAGAAACGTAATTTAAATTTAACCAGTTAAATTCTTGCGTTTAATTGCTATAGTGATTGTAACAAAAATCCAATTGCAAATGATATTTACATACATATAAATTAATATATATAACATTTATCATTTTTATTACCTTTAAACGTAAATAGTAATTAACAGAAGAGAATTAAATATTAAATAGTTGTTAATTTAAGTTGATATAAACGTTGAAACGCCAATATAGATGGCGGAATTTAGATCAACTTATATATATATATTCTTTCTCGTATAATATGGAAAGTTACAAATAATAAAGCATAAAAGGATTGACCTCTTTATTACAATTTTACAAAATGTCTCGTCATCGCGATATACGATGCATGAATTATTCAGAAGGTTCGAAATAAATAAAATACTAATTACATTTTATTTTTATGGCTCTTAAAATTTTTTATCAATTTTTAATGACATATTTTTTATAGAATATGAAGGTTATGATGATGTTTATGGACATTCAGTAGAAGATGACTACTGTGTATCTCCTAGTGGTATTTTTACTTAATACATAATTGATGTATTAAATTATATATATTTAGTATAAAATTAATATTAGTATATTGATTATTTCAATTACAGCTGAACAATTTTTATTTGATCGAAGTAAACAACAAAATATTGCATCTTTCATTACGGAACCAGATATAGTAGAAGATAATGAAGATAATGAGGAACTTCCAATATCTTTAAATGAAGAAGATATAGTGCTTACAGAAATTGAATGGGCTAAGCTTATGTCATGCATGGAATCTATCAAAAGTGTTATAGGAGATACAATATCTGAATCTGAAATTAAAAAGAAAATTATTCAATCGAAATTTGATACTGAATTAGCAATTGATTTAATTTTAAAAGAATCTTCAAAAATTAATGGTATGTGTATTTATTATATATAATATTATATATAAATATTTTTATTATTTTACAAATTAAAATAAATAAATTATTTTAGATTCATCTATAATTAATAAAAATAATTTGGAACTTCATTCAGGTATATTATTATTTATTGACATTATAATTATTGTAATAATTATGAAATATTTTTTAATCAATGATTATATTTCTTAATCTAATTTTAATTTAATTTTTTTGTTTCATGTGTTGTCTTTAAATCCATTGGTAAGGTAAGATGCTGCATCAATTAAATCTCATTCTAATTCATTCATAATTCCTAAATTATCATTTAATAAACAAGAGAATATTGAAGGTACTAATGAGAATGTATGTCTTATAAATAATTTAGAAAGTTTCAAAAATTTAACTATTAGTAATTCTCTTATAAGATTTTCTTCTTTGTCTGAATTTACAAATAATTCTATTGATTCTACGTTATCAAATTCTACAATGGATTCTTTAAAAAATAATACAGATACAATATCATTTAAGTCTTTAGCTGATTTAACAGCACATCATTTACAAAAATCTAGCAATTTAATCGATAATACAAATTCTAATGAAAAAAGATTTTCATCTAAAACAAATTTTGTAATACCAAAATTATCAATTCAGAATGAAAATTGTAATGATACACAATTAGATGTATGTGTTATTCAAAAACATATAGATTATTCTATGGATTCATTAGAAAAAAGTTTATCTAGCGTATTTGCCTCTTCAAAAAATTATACTGACACTAATATAAAAAATGATTCACAAAATATAGAATTAAAAAAAGATACGATATTAAATGAAAATGGTACTCGGACATCATCTCCAGATTCTTGGATGATTGATTTAAATTCTGCTTTAAAAGAAGCTACATCGTTAGTTTCAAGTAATCAGAATTATGCAAAATCAAAAATTTTAGAAGATGATTATAATATTATTTCTAATACAAATTTAAAAACTTTTAATCAAAATGATGAAATTCCATGTGATATGCTCCCTACAACATTAAATTTAAGTTGTCTTAGATATGTTAAACTTCCATATACAAAAAAGAATGTATCTTTATTTGGTAGAACTTTATGCAGAACATGGAAATTGAAAAAACCAATTCTTAAATCTCAGGACCATCATGAAAAATTAAAAAGATTTGATTTTTCAGTTCCATATACTCGTACTTAAATGTGTAATAATGTACAGATTAAATTAAGTACAAAAGTTTTGGAGTACAAAATATTATTATGATAAATATTACTTTTATGAACATATACATATATGTTACACATATATAATACTAAATTATAAATTTTATATAAATTTATGAATACATAAAAAAGTTATAATTAACATACATATATATATATATATATATATATATGTATATATATGTATGTATGTATATATTGTATGTATATATATATGTGTATGTACAAAATATTTCTTTTAAGTAAGAACTGTTTAATATTTCATTGGATTAAAGTTATCAAAAAAATGTTTTACCAAAAGTTTAGATCAAAAGCGCATGTATTATGCATGTACTTTTTTGTATATATTATACATTACTTTTTTATAAGTCTAATAATAGAGATTTCAAGGTCAACTTTATTTTTTTAAATTAAATAAAAACTATGTAATTTGGAATATATTAATCGATTTATCTAGATGTTGTCTATAAAAAAGTATTAACCTATTTACACATATTAAAAAACTATTGGTTTAAAAGATATTTTAACTTGAAGTTATAAAAACTATCATATAAAAAACAAGAAAAGCATGAATAGTAGAATATCACATTTTTCTTGTTTTTCATGATAAGTTTTATGAACTTTAATTCTTAAATTAATAATTTTTCGACATAAGTAGGTTAACACTTTTTTTATATGCCAAAAATAAATCGATTACTGCATTTAAAATTTCATTTAAAAAAATCAAGTTGATCTTAAAATTTTCTCTAGTACTTAATTTGCAAAAAATAATCTGTACTATATAATGCTTTTTTTAAACCAAATTTTTATTAAAATATTTTTTTGATAATTCAATATAAAATATTCCATTATTTTTACTTAAAGAAAACGTTTTGTACATAAAAATATATACATACATATATACACATGCATACATACATACATACATATATATATAAAAGATCATATAATATAATTTATTAAAAAATAGTTTTACTTATATTAATTATATTTACTGTAAAGTATTATTTTCATGTAAATATTTTCGAAATTTTAAAACGAAATTTGTGAATTTTTAAACTGCAAGAAAAAGAAAATGTATTTTTAATACTAGAACTAATAATATATGTTTATATTAAAATCTTTACATATTTTTTTTATATTTAACATTAAAATAACAATTAGTTACTACTATAATAGTAGTTTACAATAAATTTTATGATAGGTAAAAAATCATCCAAATCTACATTTCAAGTTACAACATCTTCTAATGCGAAAATCATTCCTGCTGGAAAACGACCTATTGTAAAAGGCTTTAATGTAGGCGGAATTGAGAATACAAATGTAATGAATCTTCATATTGAGAGTTCTCGCTCTCAAAGTCCATATTCTGATTATAATAGCCCAGAAATAAAAAAGAAGGAAAATTTATTGAAGGAAAAAAAAACTATTTCTTTGAATGTAAATAGTCCACGATGTCAATCTCCAATATCAGGATATCAAACATTTGATTTGGATTCTAAATTAAAACTTAATGAAGAGAAAATTGATATTATGAAGATTTATAAAAATAAAAGAGAAAATAGCAAAGAACAATTACATTTAATTGTGGTTGGTCATGTAGATGCTGGTAAAAGTACTTTATTAGGACGGCTTTTATGTGACTTAGGACAAGTTCCATCTAGGTTAATACATAAATATCAACAAGAAAGTAAAAAAATAGGAAAACAATCCTTTGCTTATGCATGGGTTTTTGATGAAACAGGAGAAGAACGGTGATTAAAATTTAAAAACTAAAAAATAATTTAAAAAAACTGATATACATATTTCTATTATCAATTAATTTTTATATGTTCTTTTAATAGGGAACGTGGAATAACAATGGATATTGGTCATTCTAAATTTGAAACAAAAACAAAATCTATTACTTTATTAGATGCACCTGGTCATAAAGATTTCATACCTAATATGATTACTGGTGCTACTCAAGCAGATGTTGCTTTATTAGTAGTAGATGCTACTAGAGGTGAATTTGAAACTGGTTTTGATAGTGGTGGTCAAACTAGAGAACATGCATTATTATTACGTTCATTGGGTATTTGAATTTATGTGAAATATTTATATAGTATATAAAATATTCGTATAAAGCATTTATATGTCATCATGGCTAAGTAATAAAAATAATTAATTTTTTAGGTATATCTCAATTAGCAGTAATAGTAAATAAATTAGATACAGTAGATTGGTCAAAAGAGAGATTTGATGAAATAGTGAGCAAAATAAGCATATTCTTGAAACAAGCCGGATTTAAAGATAATGTCATTTTTGTTCCTTGTAGTGGTCTGTCTGGTGAAAATATATTAACAAAGCCTAAAGAATCTTTGTTTAATTGGTAAAACTATTAGTTAAAATATTTAATATAAATATACATATATTTATATTATATAATATAATTATATTATATTATACATAGGTATAA